TGAGGAAATGTCCTTTACATGGGGAGTTAGATGCTGGACAATGCCTCAGACCTGAAAACTAAATTGGACTCCACTTCTTCAACACAACTGTTGTCCCTTTTCCGGGTCAGTGATCTGACTGCACTATTTCATTCTCATGGTGCTAATATACTGCACCATTGAATGAAACATCCTAGAAACAGGCTGACTCTCGAGGCAGAACTAATTCTTCCTCTGTAGATTGACCCTCCTCCAGCATCAGCATGCAACACTACACACTGCCTCCCTGGGGTGATCTAGATCCATCTGATGCATCCATCACTGGATCCTCTTGATTATCCTGTTTATTACCTTTTACATTCGGATTCTGTCAGTAGTTTCCTCCTATAGACACCAGCAGCTGAAGGTAAAAGACTAACTGCATCATTAAGATTTAAACACTGATATGAGCCTGACATGCTACATTAGCCCCAGCACTAGTAATTAAGATACTCAACACAAGCTAAAAATATGTCAAATGCACGAGCCTAGCCTGTAAATAACGCAAAAATCCCAGAAAAACAAATACTGACTAAATACTCACAAAGCATTCACCTTTAAAAAAGTTCATGTGAGAGAACAGTCCCTGTAGAGACTTATGAGCTGTTTAGGAGCTCAGTTTGGTCTTACTTTTGGTTCTGGAAAGAGTCCTCAGCAGCATGATATTTGTTTTATCTACAAAAGTCACATTTTTGTGTATTGTTCAACCTCATGCGGTACTAGATAGTGTTCCATGATGTGCATGGCATGCATGCTATGCATGCTACATCTGATTATTTGTGTTTAAAGTAAGTCATGACTCAGATTATAATTCAGGCAGTGATTTTTGCTTTGTTGGTGCTTGATGATCCACAGTGCTGCAGTCAGACGCCGTCAGCAGAGGGTCAAATATCTAGGCCTTCCAAGCCTCAAAGGACAATTACATCATGTTACTCAGGCCCCTTAAACCTATAGCCAGCACAGAGTGACTTTACTTCAGTTTTGGTTTTAATAATAATAACAACAACAACAACAACAACAACAACAATAATAATAGATTTTGTTTTTGATGCTGTGCTCCAGAGAAAGATATATTAATTAACAAATATTTCAGTTCAGTCTGATAATTTGATAAATTAATGTGGAAGTATTAAACAAACAAGGAGTTAACTTCAAAAAGATTTCAACAAAATAAAAGTGTTTAGTAGATTCATGTATTCTTTAAATCTATGATGTCACACTTTAATTTTAATTAAGTTTAATGATTGTCTCTCTTCACACACACACACACACACACACGCACGCATGCTCGCACGTCAAATAGTTTTAGTTTTTGCAGAGGGATGTCTAACTGGATCTGGTCTGATTTTCCCTGTTAATTCATGTTCCTTGGGGGGGGGGGGGGGGGGGGGGGGGGGGGGCGACATCATCTCCCTGACCTAGTTGCCCGCATCACAGCTAAGTTCAGACAGCAGGTTTTGGTGTCTTATTTCCCGATATTTGGACATCTCACCCAGGATTGGATAGCAGCAACAGGACTCTACCACTGACTTGAAGCCTAGAGAAGCCTCTGCCGTGTGGTGAAGTTGCTAATGCTAACAGTTAGCTTAAACAAGCCAGGACGTCCACTGTTGTTTCCCGGACGTTTAAAAAACAACAGCCTTCCCCGTCGTGAATCAAGATGGGTGAGTCCATGAATGTTAATTAACAGTGTGACGTAGATCCGTCTGGATTTTCTAATCCTAGAGTTTCACCATCTAGTTTTTATCAGAAGGTAATGCAGGAGATAGGTGTAGGACCCACTTTTAGGGTCTGGCTTTTAACTCTGTGGATTAGATGTTGCTGATCTTTCATGTGATTTTATTCTATCTTTATTGTTGGTTTTAATTGCCTTTATTAATTTTATCTGTTTTAAGTTATTACTGTGCAGCACTTTGGTGGCATGCTTCATATCATATATCATTATTTCATATACATAAATGATGATGATGATGATGATGATGATGATGATGATGATGATGATGATGATGATGATGATGATGGGAGACTATTTTCATGTTCAGTCTGCAGAAAACCTTTAGAGTTCCCAATTATAATCAGAAAAAGCATTAAAAAAATTTCAGTCAACCACACCCTTAAGTTCCAGTGAATCACTTTGCAACTTGCGTCTATGACAAGTGCTATGTAAATATACGTCTTCTGTAAGTCATTGAAGGAACTGTATGAAAGAAAGAAAAGAATCTTTAGATGTGTTATCTTCCTTTAGCTTCCTGTTGTTTGGCTTAATTCTCTCAGCTTTTAATTCTAATGCCGTCCTAACTTAGTTACTGTATCTTCTTGTTTTTCTGGTTCAGTTTCAGTCCTCTTGTCTTTATGTATTACCTCCCATCCCTCCGTAAACTAGTCGCACCTTTAGGCCATTATCCTCAGTACTCATCTCACCAGCGCCACTGTCATTGTATTCACTGCCCTGTCTATGTAAAACCAGTTCTATCCTTGTGTTTGCATGTTCTCAAACCAAGCCCTAAAACAGAGGCTTTTATCTTTTAACCTACCTGGCTGCTTCCTGGATGTCGCTTCACCTTACTGCATTTGGGTCCTACTACAACAACATCTCCATTTTGTGCAACAACATCTCCATTTTGTGACAGCTCCTCTCAGGCCAGCTAGACATCCATCCATCTCTGGTGGCTTTTGGATCTGCTGACCTCTCAGTTGCTCACACAGTGCTTCAGCCATTAGAGACCAAAATGTTCTATAAGAAGCTGTTTTTTCCCTGAGGACATTTATTTCCGACCCCAGGCACAAGGAGCTTTCTCCTGTAAATCTTTGCAGTATTGTTTGGGATGATGTGGGTATCTGGAACGTTGGTCCCTTTCCTTTAACCGTTCCTCCTTTCAGCTTTTCTTTTGTCATTCTAGCTGCCTGAAAGTAGTTGTCAAACTAACTAGTTTCCATTTTGATATGATTTTCTTTTTTTCCTGACTGGACAAATTAACGCATATGAGCCTCACCATCAGACCATCCAGTAAAAACTTCCCCTTCTTTCTGCAGTTGTGACTTAGTACATATACATTCGCTAGTCGTTAAGTCCCTGGATAAGACTCACCTGTGTTTCAATAAATGTGGTTTTAAACACACCATAACGTGGTGATAATTAGGAAGAACCAAACTTATCAACTCGTCAATCAATTCGTAGAAGGATTCCACATCACCCATTGTCTCTCATCCCTGTTTTAGGTTAAGATAATCTGATATTTATGTAGTCGTAGTTGTTTGGTCAAATTTGGGAAATAAATGTATGCGTGATCTTGCATGATGTTACTCTTGATTGTTCCTTGGACTGTACTGTGAGGTGTGTTTGCTAATATTGAATAGCTGTGGTGGCCATTTTAATTTGGGTTGACAAACTTTGTTTGTTTCAGACCACACCTTAAGCCTCATAAACTCAACCCAAGTTTCAGAACTGAAGAAGCTTCCTGGATGAGAGGCAAAGCGTCTTTAAGCAGAACAAAGAAAAACAAATAAATACAATCCAGTTGTTCCACATAAACCTTCAAGATTATCATGCCCTGGACAACTGAGAATCTACACAAACATTTGTCACACTTAGCAGTGAATTACAACATCACATAATCAGCTGGAACAAAAACCTGTTAGTTTCTTGATCAAACTGTGTTTGGCCTATAGTGTGCTGTATGCTAATGACTGTGGTTATCGTCATAATACAGTGTTCTATAGGCACTGCAGCAAATTGTTTTTGCAACCATCAAACCAGAAGCCTTGACTTATTCCAACCATCGGTCTAGCTGCAGCACAATAAAAACCTAGCCTTTGGCCAATCACTCAATTTGTTCAAAGTTAGACAAATTATTTTTCAGATGTCTTATGTCAAAATGTATGCAGACATTTGATCCCGTTTTCAGATATCAGAGCGAACAGTGTGCCTTATAAATAACATTCAATTTATAAGATGTTAATGATGCCATGTTTTCCTTTCACTCTTCCTAGAAAAAAGAAGATGCACACACACACACACACGCACACGCACACACACACACACACACACACACACACACACACACACACACACACACACACACACACACACACACACACACACACACACACACAACCTACCTGGCTGCTTCCTGGATGTTGCTTCACCTTATATATATATATATATATATATATAATATATATATATATATATATATATATATATATATATATATATATATATATATATATATATATATATATATATATATATATATATATATATATGCATGCTTTTTCATTGCTCTATAAATAAGTGTCCACATCCTCATCATCCAATTTACTTGTTTGAGTATTAGATAGCAATAATTTATAAAGAGTATCATTGTCAAATTCTAAGCAAAGCAAATGGTCATTCTGTAATTATTTAGCATTTAAGTTGAGAACAGTGAAGGTTTGTGTGTGTGTGTGTGGGGGGGGGGGGGACTACCTGCTCAGGTATCATGAGCTATAGTTTAACCTGTGGTTTAATATGCAACATCTGTCTCTGTCTAACACAGAGCAATCCAGCTGTGGGCCTCCTGTTCTGGCACTGACTGTGCCTCGAGGCGCTGAGCTTGCAAACTGCGCAGACTGCTGCTGCATGACGGGCTGCTGCCCGGAGCCTCAGTCCTGATGATGATGGTGATGATGATGATGTCAGTGTTTGAGGATGGGGATAGCAGCCGAGAACCAGCTAGCGGCGACAGTATTGTGCAGAACTGATCACCCACTACACCCCTGCACGCGCACAGCACTCGCCCTGACACGCGCACTGCAGGCTCGAATGCTTTTATGCAAATAGATGAGTGCAGATATCAAATGTTGCACGACGGACCGCGCTCGGTGAGCGGACGCCTAACAATCCAGATGGTTGCATCCAGAATCTGCTGATCGAACCGTTAACAGCATAACGGGTCATATGATCCTTCACAGCCGACACCTGGTTCTGATCCGAGTCTTACCGCATCGGTCCGGACTCCCGCTCCGTGCTGGTCCATTCTTGTCGTCGGGGTGCTACGAGGCAGCGCGATGGTGTTTTCCCGGTGACGACATCTGACATGTGCAGAAGGCGAAGCTGCAATATGCGTCTGATTGGTCAGACTCCGCGGATTTTTCTCTCCTCCTCCCTGATCAGACAGCGCCAGTGGGCGTTTGCGGCTGCGCAGCGCCGCTGCACCTTATCCCACCACTCCATCCATCTCGCTGTCTGTGATTCCGACTCCGATAACGTTCCCGCAGCACTGTCACGTACATACAATCCTGCAGGAGAAGGTTCCGACTTCAAACCCGACTTTACCTGCAGCAAGCAACAACACAGCATCGGATCCAGTACCAGGAATCAGGAGGGTTCCTCCAGCTGGCGGTGACGGAGAGTTTGGCGCCACCCCACGAATCATTCTCCTGTTCGGATTTATGATGGGCATAATGCAGCCCAGGGTGGTCCGTTTGAGGATGATCGTATTGATTGTTGAGCTGAACCTGTTTGGGATCAGGTGGGCAGGCAGAGCTGGCAGGTAACAGCTGTATTCAGTCAGAAAAGTGTCCAAATAGGGCGATTTACCTTTTGGACTGCCTGTAGAAAGTCGAATATCAGACATTCACCTGCAGATGTATGGGGAGCCTAATGCCCATTTACTTCCAGACCATGGGTCCCCTGTTGCAAAAAAATAAAAATAAATAAAAAAGACAAGAACATAATGAGAGTCTTTGGGATGATAAGTTATTTACTGATCCCATTTGATTTATGCCATGGGTTTAATATATGATGTCCATTAATTTTTAAGTCATTTTGATGCCAAGAAAGTGCTTATTTTCAACAGACGGCAAAAGTTATTTTAGGTTTTATTTGAAAAGATGGAGCGTGAGATTAGTGGTGCATCTGCAGGGATGCAGGCGTTGTACCGATCTGTTGTGGTGAAGAGAGTTGAGCCGGAAGGCCCTCGATCTGTGTTCCTACCCTCACCTATGGTCATGAGCTTTAGGTAATGACTGAAAGAACGAGATTGCGGAAACAAACAGCCAAAACAAGTTTTTGCCGCAGGGTGTCTGGGCTCTCTCTCTGTAACAGATAAGGTGAGAAGCTTGGTAATCTGGGAGGGGCTTGGAGTAGATCTGCTGCTTCACCACATCGAGAGGAGCCAGATGAGGTGGCTCGGGCATCTGACTCGGATGCCTCCTGGACGCCTCCCTGGGGAGGTTTTACAGGCACGTCCAAAAAGACCCAAAGGAAGACTCAGGACATGCTGGAGAGACTCTGTCTCACAACTGATCAGGGAATGCCTTGGGATTCCCCCAGAGGAGCTGGCCCAAGTGGCTGGGTAAAACGAAGTCTGGGCCTCCTTGCTTAGGCCACTGCCTCACGACCCGTGTCGAGATAAGTGGACAAAAATGGATGGATGAATGGAAGACGGAGAACTCCAACTGCTTGTCTCACCGAATTGTCGACATCGAACCAGACATGGAGATGAGGGAAGAGAAATGAAAGTTTAGGGAGCTCTGCATCCTTCTTTCAGGATGAAAGGCGAAGCATTAAATGTGGAGAAAATGGCTATAAATCTGTCAATGTGAGTAACAGCTACGCAGGGGGAGAAGAAATTGAAGTACAACATGTGTCAGGGTGTAAGGCAAAATTAACTTTTATCACTCCATTCTCTTACACTGTCATGTTCTGTGTCCCTTTGTTCCCCAGCCGCTCCAGTTCCCACTCCAGATTCTCCTTTTGTGTTTCATAGCGCCCTCATGTGTCCTTTGTCTGCATCTCATTTATGTGTCTCCTGTGTTCCTTTAGTCTTCTCCAGTCACCCCTCTGCAGCCAGTCATCCCTCTGCAGCAAGGGAGCAAATCCCATTTCAATTTTGGGGGGGGGCAATAAACAGTAAAACTTCAGAGAGTCCTTTTTGGGGGGGACATGAAAAAAAGCACTCTATATATATATATAACACTGTATGTCATAAGAAACTGACCTGTGACTCTGTGCCTGTGTCTGACAGGCTCTAGCTGCCTGTGCTCAAGTGACTGGATTTTGCCTAATGAAACCATTTAGAAACAATTTCATAGGCATTTCATTTCTTTCTTATAGATGTCTCTATCAAAATGAATGTTTCTACTTACTTGACGTTCTGAAGCATTAAAAAACAACCGGATGTCTGCCGTTTTTCGTTTCTCTGCCATTTCAAATGACCTGGTCTGCTGACAGTTGGACAGCAACACACACACAGATGGGATATTGTCATTAGAACGGAGCTGGAGGATATTGATCAACAATAATATCTTGCCTATTTTGTACAGGAGTGGGGACAGGTGCTGCCTGTCTTCAGACTCCTGTCTTCAGCTCCATGGAATCTTCTGTTTTTCAAATACCCGGTCCCACTCCTACAGTTATTGCCTTGATCTACCACCCACCCAAGCCCAATAGTGACTTTTTAAATGACTTCTCCTCATTACTCACCCAGCTCACTACCCTTTCCCCCAATGTCATTCTGCTTGGTGATATAAATATTCATATGGACAACTTGAACCTCCCCTTCACCAGAGACTTCTCCTCCTACCTCAACAGTTTCGATTTTCAAACATATTCTAATTTTCCCACGCACATTAAAGATCACCCTCTTGATTTAATCTGCTGCTGTGGTTGAACCCCATCTAACTGTTCTGCTAATGATGTCCATATATCAGATCACTTTTTTCTGTCATTCAACATCGCCCTCTGCTCTTTAAGAACTAAGCCTATCCGTCACATCTCATTCCGCAATATCAAAAACATTAACCCAGATACCCTGTCATCTATTATTAACACTATATCAACCCCTAGTTCTGCTTCTCCTGACCATCTTGTTTCTCATTATAACTCCACACTCCACAATATCTTGGATTCTCTTGCCCCAGTCAAAACTCTGTCTGTCTCCTTTACTAACTCTGCCCCCTGGTTTACCCCTGAACTCCGACGGATGAAAGCCAAAGGACGTCAACTCGAACATCTCCATAAATGAACTGGTCTTGCAATACACAAAGAAATGCACAAAACTCACCTGCTTCAATACTTGGACTCTATTAAACATACAAAATCTGCTTTCTACTCTGGATTGGTTTCCTCCTATGAAGGCAACTCCAGGACTCTGTTCTCAATAATGCGCAATATTTTTCATCCCCTGGACTCTCTACCCCCCCCCCCCCCCCCCACCTGTATTCTGCTGACTCATGTAACTCTTTAATAACCTTCTTTACTCAGAAAATTGCTTCCATACACCAGCAATTAATTCCAAGCTCTTCCCCTCCCCCTGAGATTTTTTCACCCCAAGAGTCATTTTGTTCCTTTCTTCTTCCCACTTCATCCGAAATATCTGATCGTATCTGTAAATTCAAGCCCACCACCTGCTCTCTCGACCCCCTCCCTACAGTTTTGGTTAAAACATGTCTCACCTCCCTTCTCCCTCTCATAACCGCCATAATCCACTCCTCCCTCTCTACCGGTATTGTTCCCTCACTTTTCAAAACTGCATCTATTACTCAATTCAATATTTTTTCAATTCAATAATTTATTTCACTCAAAGTTTAAATATACAAACTTCAAAGTAGAATATAAGCATTCGAGTGAAATAGGGGGAGGAAGAAGAAAAAATCTTATGACCTACCCTCTTTAACTAAGACAAGATAAACAATAAGTACAAAATAGCCTTATACACAAAAATAAACTGCTCTCTTACTTCCACAAATAATATCACTACTAAAACATTAATCCTCCATCCTCAACTCACCAAATCATACGATTTTAGCATTTTATCTTTATACACTTTAATTGATCAGTAGTTGTACATTTTTTAAATTCATCATACAGGTTATTCCATAATTTCACACCATATATTGAAATACACATTTGCTTTAGTGTAGTACGAACAAATATCCTTTTAAACTCTGGTTTCTTTCTACTCTTATTTTTTGGGATCAAAACAAAGAACCTTTGTAGATTAGTTGGCAGTATATTTCTAGCCTTAAACATAATTAGTAAAATTTTCAAGTTAAGTCTTTGAATTTCATAGTTTTAGATTGAAAATATTTGTTAGCATGTTCTCTCGGATTTGCTTTATATAGAATTCGCAAAACTTTCTTCTGTAACAGAAACAAAGGATTAGTGTTGGTTTTATTACCCCAAACCTCAATACAATAAGTTAAGTATGGTAAGATAATGTCATGATGGGTGGTAATTTCTTAACCCACATGAAGAATCACTCAGGTATAAGGTAAGAGATGATAATAAAAATCTTTATTTTATAAAGAAAACAAAGCGAAAACTGAGGGTGCTGATCCAAACGGGACAGGAAACGAGGCAACTCCGACTCTAAGAAGAACGGTGAGAGTGATTAGAAACTGAGAACCAGGAGATGAATAATCATGAGTGGAACGGGCTTACTGAGTTGAGCGGGACGAGGGGCAGGAGGGAGAGGCAAGTCAGGTTGATGCAGGGAGGAGATGGTCGCTGGAGGTGATGCTGGATCCAGGAAGGCAGGTGAGCGGTGGAGAGCAGGAGGCCAGGGAAGCTGAACGACGCTGTGATAAATCACACCTCAGGCAGGTGGAGGGAATCCAGGGCTGGTACAGACAAGAATGCAGAGCTGGGTTAGTTAAGGTAAACAAGTTCTTAAAGTCAAGGCACAGATAAGGACGTGGCTCAATCTACCCAATAGTAGAGTATCAACTGGCGTTGAGGTGTGGAAGCACCGCTCCTTAAATCCTCTGGCCAGGCTGATGGTAATTAGCTGCAGCTGCTGCTGCTCCCCAACACACTCACCTGCAAACAATGAAGGGAAAATAGCAGCAGAAGCAGAGAGAAGGCAGAACCATGACAGATAAATGAATAATATAATGTCTGAAGCGTTGAAATTTCTAGGAAACCTTTGACTTGGTTTAAAATTCCAATACTTTTGGATATTTTTTGTTTTATATATTTTATATGGGATTTCCAAGTAAGTTTATGGTCCAAAAGAACCCCTAAGAATCTGACTTCATTTACTCTATCAATTAAAAAACCATCAATAGACAACGTAACTAAATCATTAGTTTTTCTGTTACTAAAAACCACAAATTTTGTTTTATTCCAATTGAGAAATAATTTATTGTCATTAAACCACTTCTTAAGTTTAGACATTTCACAAACCATATTTTGAATAATAATTTCTAAATCATTTCCAGAACAAAATATATTCGTGTCATCAGCAAACAATATGAACTGTAATACTTTGGAGTTTGGACACATCACAAATGTCATTTATATATAGAATAAAAAGCTTAGGGCCCAACACTGACCCCTGTGGGACACCGTGCGTAATCTCTAGTGAATCTGAAATTTCATCATCTAACTGTACAAATTGATTTCTATTGGTCAAATAACTACTTGACCAGTCATGGGCGAATTCCACGTATCCCATAATCCCTCAGCTTGGAGAGTAAAATACTATGATCTATTGCGTCAAATGGCTTTTTTAAATCAATAAATAAACCCACTGTATATTGTTTTTTTCTATTGCTGATGAAAGTTCTTCATTTAATTCCAATAAA